GTCATTCTGCTGACATGGTATGTCAGTGTACTAATGGAGAAGGTCAGCCTGCTGACATGGTCCTAATGGAGAAGGTCAGCCTGCTGACATGGTCCTAATGGATCACCCCCTCATTCAGGTCCCACATGATCTGGCATCCACACTCCTATCATTAGTACTAGGCAGGGTGGAGGCAGCCCTGGCGTGGGCGGGGGGGGGGGGCTTTTCACGTGATCCGATGTGGCACCCTGTGTTCTGGCCTTCGCTCTGCCTAATTAAACCATGCATGTCGTCGCGGGCAGGTTATCATTAGCATGTCGCTCCAAAAGAAAGGGGAAGAGTGGGAAAAATGACAGACATAATCCACCCCCCTCCCGCCCCCACCCCCAGGGAAAGCCACCGACGGGCAGGACAGCTGCAGAACAAACATGCCATCATGACACCAAAGCAGCCTGAGGGGACCACGGGCCTCTTTCATGCAAAAATGATCTTTCGTTCGATTTTACATTTTAATTACACCTTTCTCTGAAATGGGGCTGCAGATTCAGGAAATCACCAGGGGATATGGTCCAGTACACTGGTCATGCGGGGGCAGCAGCAAGAAGTGAGCAGGGGTGAACTTAGAGGAACGAGGCCAGACAGACAGATAGATAAACTTTAAAAATCCTCAAGAGAAACAGGAAAGAAGCAACACGGTCTGGACCAATCACCACAGGGGGGGAATATTAACCGAGCCAATAAGGAAACAGCTGTCACACTCCCACATGGAAGGGGCCTCTGATCTCACCGTGGTCAGGGCCGGCTCAGAGAGATTTCCGCTTTGGAGCGTGGATGTACTTTCTGATGGCAGACACTGGGGCAAAATGGAGGGGGTGGGGGCTGACCGAGGGAATTCTGCCAACTTCCAGTTCAAAGATACGGTCTAGAGACGGGTGGCTAGAGAAGGAAAGCTGGAAATCCGCTGGGACTAGCTGGGCCGGCAAGCCTTCGTGGAGGTGGAGGGGGTGTGATCTGTCATTGCTCCCGGCATTAATACGGCCTGGACAGTCTGAGCTTCAATGGGGTCGCCTTAGGGATAGCCCAGTGAGTTCTCTGTGCTCCCTCTACTGGTGAAGAGTCATTCGTGACGATATCTTCCCCACCTGAAAAGCTTCCTACCAGCACTTCCTACACTAAAAGCCACGCGCAACTCAGTTTATACTCTTTCCCAAAGAATATGTCCACCCCCCCCCCGCCAATTTAAATTTAAATAAAACAAAATAAACACTTGCCTAATGTATGCCTGTGTTTCATTTTAAATTTAAACAGATTTCAAATGTAAGGAAGGTGCTTCCAAAGTGTTTCATTGGGCAAGAGCGTTCTTTCCCAGTGTTGAGGGAAACATCAAATGGATCGCCAGTCACATTTCTTGCTTACCACTGAGCAAATAACAATGTTAATGTTTTTATTCATGAAAATCGACATTTACCACACGTATTGGACATTCTTATTCAAATTTATTCAAGTAAACAATCTTAACTTTCTAATGAAAGTGACAATATCTGTGTTTCCTCATAATATTATACAAATTCCGCTATTTTTTAAGTCGTATATCGTTGCACAGCTTCACGTTATCTGGCCATTGTTTCCAGCTATGGATTATGTAATAAGTTTTAACACTGTTTGAAGAATCATTTATCATTTTTTTAAAAAATCTGTTACAGATGGGGTAACGCCCCCAGGTCTGTCTGTCCTGCCCCCCCCCCCCCAGGTCTGTGTCTGCTGCCCCCCAGTCTGTACTGTATGTGTATGCTGGCTCCCCCCCAGGTGTCTGTGTGGGCTGCACCCCGAGGTGTGCATTTATGTGTTTATATGTGTTTACCCCCTGCCCCTCCCCCCAGGTGTGTGTGTGTGGGCCCCCCCCCCCCTCCCAAAGTGTGTGAGTGTTCCTCACCAGTCTGTCCCTGCCCCCCCAGTGAGCGCTCACCTGCAAAGCTGATGTTGCGAATGTACTTGAGCAGCATGGTTCCATTGATGGGGTCCATCCGGGGACACAGGCCCACCCGGCCTGGGCACAGCTCCCGGTGCATGTTGTGCAGAGCATGCGCCATGGCGTAGACGGCGTCGATCACAAACTGCACCTTCCCCTCCTGCTCGTACCACGAGTCCTTGCCGATCCGCTCGTGGTCTGGGGAGGGGGGTAGAAGGCCAGACAGTTAAACTCCTCATTCTGGGAAAAGATCTCACAGGAAATCGTGCGTCAGATTCCAAAGCTATGGTCTCCATCTTGGCATCCGGCGGAAGCCTGTGACAGCAATTAGCTGTGAGCTGCAGGATTATTAGGAAATTTACTCAGCGATGGAAAAAAATGTTATTGTCAAAATGGGAATGCGTGAATAATTGGGCCGCAACATGGCTGCTGGTTCGACAGGGAGAATATCAACAAGATGAAGCAGTGAGGTAGGCCAGAACTGCAGAGGGTAGCTCCATGACCTCAACATCTTCAGGGTTTCGGTTCCAAGCGCTGACTCTGTGTGTGCATCCACATGTCCTCTCATGTGCAAGTACCCGGGCATTTATGGCATCGCAGAGAATCACAGAGCATGACTAACCCAGAGCAGCACGGTGGTCCAGTGAACAAAGCCAGAGCCTCATTCCTGCATGGTTTGCGTTCGGTTCCCACCGCAGTTGTTTGTGTGTAACTTGTGTTTCTGTCTGTGTTCATGCAGATTTCCTCCCGTAGGCCAAAAACCTGCAGTGCAGGGCAAATGGAGTCTCCAAATTGCATGCGATTTTGTCTGCACGCACATCCTGTACTCCCTAATATGTACTGGAGAAGCGCTTATGAAAGATGGATGGGTGACTAACATAACCGCAGCAGCTGTTCACGCACAAAAAAAACAAAAACTGTTTGGACATTAACAACAAATTTAAAATCATTTTGTTTTTTGAGTGCGATAATTAACGTCAACAGATCTGACACTTTGCGGTGATGGCGGTTTGGTTTAAAAACAATCTGTCGGGCCTAAGCCGACGTCGTTTCCGCGGTTAGCGGTCGGGAAACAGCTTGTCCGTGACACTGTATCTGTGAAAAACATGCCTCTGGCAGGCTGTTGCAGGACCACTGCCGTGGGATCTGCCTCCCAGGCTGCCGCAGCCTGCAGTACTCTGCCTAGGAGCTGTTCTAGGTCCGCCTGCAGTTCAAACACATACGCTTAGAACATGATGCTTATAAATACGTTTGTAGAATATGGCCGCGTGTGCTTGGCCTGTGATGCTGTGGTATCCCATCCATACCTGCCAACGCTGCCTATTTGTTCATATTTGTATTTATGTGTGCCACTCTGTACTTCTGCATGGATGTACTGACAATAAAAAGCTCTTGAGTCTTGATTTCCTGAGGTTCCTTACAAATGTCCTTCAACCCTCCATCTGATGTCTTGATAAACTCCCGACCCCCCCTCCCCCACGTACATCGTTCCAGCAAATATAATTAGTGGGGACTCCACCCCCCCCCAGATATGCAATATGCATCCAGGGCACCGTCTAACTTGCCCCTGTGTTTCCTAGGATAGATTCTAACCCTTTCCACAACCCCCAATAAGATTAGTGGGTCAAAGATAGATAGAAGGGGTAAGATCTATGTACTGTAATGTTTCTTTTTTAACTCTAAAAATAGAACAGAAAATCTAACTACTTCCTGTATGCTGGTCTGTGAATTAAAAGTGTTTGTGTGTGTGTGTGTGTGTGTGTGTATGTGTGGTCCAGGTACACCTTACCTTGTGGGGACCAAATGTCCCCACAACATGATGAATATCTGTTTGTTTTTACTTTATGGGGATCAGATTCCTGGTCCCCCCATGGGAAAACTCTATTTTATAAAGATCCATGACTGCAATGAAAAAACTAAAAATGCAAAAAGTCTCGTATTTTGTTTGGTTACTTATGGTTATGGTTAGGGCTGGGTCGGGGTTAAGGTTGTCATAGTTAGCATTAGCATTTTTCCCATAGAAATGAATGAGCGGCCCCCAAAAAGATATGATTACGCGACCGTGTGTGTGTGTGTGTGTGTGTGGAGTGGATTGTGTTTATATCACATTGTGGGGACCAAATGTCCCGGCACACGGCATTCAGGAAATGACCTTCCCTGATCCGGCACTCCCGGATCCCGCCCTCTCAGCCAGGCCTGGGCGCCTCATTACCTTATGATTGCCTGAATTACAGCTGGAGACGCCGTGTCAATAAAAGAGCCTCGAAATAAGTTAGCCGGAAAATGGTTCTGCCCAGATAAAAATCCCGCCTGGGGCTAACTGGAAATCCGGCGTTTTAATGACGAAGACCCAAACTGTGTACCTCCGTAAGATAAGAACACTAATATTTGGCCTGATACTCATTTGACTGGAGCAGCACAGTTAATGACTTCCTCACTTTTTACCGTCACACTGCAGGTGAATGACTGACACTATAATGTATTTCTTTCAACATTTACAGGCGCTTTATCAAAGCAGATTCACATGGTTTACAGCTTTGCATGGATACACAAAGTTAAATTGCCCTGTTTTTAACAGCACATCAAGCCCCACTGCGATACTGGCCCCTCATGGTCACCAGTCTATGCCTGTCATGCATCTCAGCAGCAGAACACAAATACTTCCGCCAGTGTTACTGCAGGACCCCAGACTTATCTTTCTTCCCTCACTTTGCTGCTGTCCCCAGTCACATGACCCGAGTCCCCAGCCCCCCCCCCACCGCCCTCCCAGCTGTCTATGTCACGCCATTGGCTGCTTCTGTCTATGGTTTGCAGTGCTGCCGTCTACAAACCACAATTCCCTATGCAGCATAAATCCGCAAAGTACTTCTCCACCCCCCTGTATATGAACTATTTCTAGTGATTTTATCCTTTTGGAGACTGACATCCCCAGCAGCACTAAAAAAGAGCAGGTGAAGGTCCACCCCCCCCATCATATAGGCACATCCCAGACAAACACCTTGGATTACTGTTCCTGGCATGTAAAATGTTTCACGTCATTCCAGTTCGTCTCCCTGAGCTACAGGGTTTTCACTGTCACTTGACCTGCGTCCTACCCGCCTGTTCCTTTGCCCTCTGCCCTCTGCTTCCATCACCTGCTATTGGATGAGCCACTGTAGAAGGTGGATGAATGGATGAAAGCATTGTAACTGGTCTCTCTTTTTCTTTTACTGTGCCTACAGAACAGCGAAGGTCAAGGTATTACCTTGTTACATTAGGCACTTGATTGTTAGCACTCTGAATTAAAGCGTACATCTCTAAAATATGCACAACAGCCTATGAAACCAGGGTCAAATGAGACAGCGGGGGTGAGGATTTTGGGGGGGGGAGCATGGGAGGCAATGAGGCAAAAAGACGAGCCTCACCCCCATCCCCGAACCGATGCTATTGGTTATGACAGGTGCACATTAATCAAGGCCGCGCTCATTTCACTGTTTTTGTAACATGTTAATTACTATGTGAGCTTTCAATTAACACCTCAATTAGGAGGCAGCTGTCCGCTCGTCCAGAGCACGGCTGATAGATCTACTGCACCCCTACACACTGCCATCAACGGGTCACCAAGCTTCCTTGGTCAATTTAGCGAGAATTTCTTGGCAGTTATTGCATTCAAAAGCTGAGGCAGAGCACTAGGACCCTGGGGGTGACTTAGCTGATGGGGACAGTCACATGAGAGGTACATAGTTCAGGGATGTTATCAGGACTGATTTTAGCCATCAGGAAAAAGCTTTATTTTTTAAAATCGTTTTAGAAATAGCACTTTGCCATCAGAAGTAAGACCAGAATAGTTGCCAACTGGGCAGACATCTGCACGTGTTTAAGCACCATCCAGAGATGGTGCTCAGATTGTAGGTGAGAGTTTTAATGAACCACAATCGGCGAGACTTTTGTTTCCAGATGGACCATGCCTTCCTTAAGCGAGAACTTATGGTGCGTTCGTTTTTCTCTCGGAACTCGAAAATTCCGAGTTGAATGACATCACGTCCGATAATCTCCCGTTCGAGCTACCCACATTTGGAGTTTTCCAAATGGAGATTTTTCCGAGAGACAAACAAGAAACACGAACTAGTCAAACCACATTAAAAACTTTATAAACTATATTAGTACATTCATAGCAATATTCTTTTTTCGAACGGCAAACAAACTACAAACAAACCAAGTCGCCATGTTGAAATTACGTCACAGGGGCAACTCGGACAACAAAATCTTGTCCGACTTCAACTTCATAAAAGACTTTCCGACGGGAAGTGATGTTTTTCGTGACGTTTCGTGACGTTTTCATCCGAGTTCCGACTTGGAGAGAAATAATCGAACGCACCATTACAGCCTTAAATTTCGTGGAACACTCGGGGTGGGTCTTTCGGGTCCGTTTTCTTATCACATACATGACCTAAAATTATCATCATGGTAGGCCTATTTTTCATTTTTTGGACGGTGACGGTATTGTACCATATTGTATTACTTTTTTCCAAGTTTTGGGAGAATTAGTGTGTTACGGAAGCGTATTACTGCCACGACATAATAATAAAAAAAATATTCTCACTATCACGTTATAACGTGAAAATGATACATTATATAACGTGAAAACATCACGTTAAAACGAGAAATCGTATCACGTCATAACGTGAAAATATCACGTACGTTATAACGTGAAACCGTATCGCGTTATAACATAAAAATATTACGTCCTTTCCCTTCAGGGTATACAAATTTATATTTTATATTAAGAAATATTTTATAATATAATAAGTACACTTCAATTGCTAATTTCCAATTTAATTACACTTCGGTATGGACGGTTTTATTTCTAAAAGATACAAAACGTGACATAGATAATGTTTGTTTTGTAACTGTCGGAGTAACAACGCAAAATGAATGGCGACATTGCATTTTACTTTTCATTTAAAATAAAACGCAGGGTTGCCAACTCTGGTCAGCTATAGCTGGAGTGAGATATTCCATTTGAAATAAGACTGCATACACGTGCACATGTATGTAAGTTATTTTTACATTGTAAATGACCTGTATACGGTTCGCAAACTACCCCAAGGCTTTTGATGTAGTTAATTTTAGGTTTATAAGGGAATAATATAGATTTGCCGTAAAAAAAAAAAAGTCTGGCTACCCAGAAAATGTATATTTTTAAAACGTTTCAATGT